ACGGTCCCCGTTAGCCACTCATGCCTCGAGTCAACTCGTCACCACACCACGCACAAGTCGGGCCTAGCGGCTGCCACACGTCACCAACCCGCCAAGCCGCCATCAGAGTTTCGCTCGCCTCCAAGGTTTTCGAGCCGCAGCCGCAGCTTCAGCCGTCCGTTTAAAACCCACAGTTCATACCCTTTCTCTACATAATCCCTTTCCAAACGCTGAAGATGAGTGATAATATTTCCGCTGACACCAAGCTACCAATTCTCGGCAAACGGAACATTCTTTTTCGCAATATATTAGATATTGTATACCAAATATGTTATAAATTGCTAATATATATTATGTGCTAAATTTAAATCATGCATATTAGGTAATAGCATAATATCCAACCAAAATGATTGTGTATATCAATTACATTGATTTTTTAATTTGAATTTTAAAAAATTGACCGCCATTTTTCAAAAAATATTTAAAAAGTTATTAATATAGGTAAAAATGAATTATTTAAGCGGGAATTCAACTACTATTTTAGGTAAATGCCAAACTTTTTTATATTTATATAAATATAGATATAGATATAGATATAGATATAGATATAGATTTGACAAAAAGAAAATTCTAAAATTACATCTAGGAGAGTAAATTCCATTTGCAAAAAAAAAAAAAAAANNNTTTCAAATCTAAAAATGTGTAATAATAACATTATCTTAATTAGTTCATACTAATCCGTGGTCAGAATTTATACCCCAATAATATGAATTAATGGATACTTTGAAATCTGGTAGCAAAAATAAATATAATGTCAAATATTCTTCGACATAATATATTATCTCCTAACTAAGGTAAAAAATCAAAATGATGTGAATGCATACTTTGAACAAGAATATCACAACAATAATCTCAATAATTAATAATAATATTGTTAAAATATAATCGTTCGTGCATATCTATAAATATACGAGCAGAGAAAATATAAGTTATTATCATCACAATTAAACACAAAAAGAAAGAAGAAAGAAATGTATCGTCCAAAGTGGACCCCATTCCCCCCATGCCAGACATACCCTTGCAAAGATGTTATGTGCTGCAGTGATCACCACAAGTACAGGGTGACATGGCCGGAGCTGATGGGTGCCGAACCCGAAACCGCAAAGGCTATCATTGAACGTGACAATCCCTACGTAAAAGCCGTTATTCTGCACCGAGAGGAGGTGACGCGCGACGACTTCTGCTGCAATCGAGTTTATGTCAAACTTGATGCCAACAAGCGTGTCTATTTGGTTCCTCATGTTGGTTGATTGATTCCATTCATTATTGGAATAATAATTAATAAATAAATGAATAAAGACCCTTTGTTTGGTTTGGTTGTTCTTATATTATATATAATCTTTGTCTTAATCATTATGGTTCTATGAGTTTCATCGCGGATTTATCCTTAATTTTGCCCTACTCAATTTTTTGCGTTTGGTTTAATTTAATTTGCTGGTTTATTTTGGGTCCAATATTATATAACTCACTATATATGAAATCGCCGAAAGATAACCATTACAAATCTACAAAATTGTGGCAAAATTAAATTAACATTGCAACAAGAAGAACAACTAAGTTGACGAAGATGAAATTCCAATATTATTATTATTATTATTATTATTATTATTATTATTATTATTATTATTATTATTATTATTATTATTATTATTATTATTATTATTATTATTATTATTATTATTATTATACACATCTCAAGGCATGTGTTATTGGGAAAAAGTTTGATTTCGAATTTGTCATGTAAGATATGTGTGGACCTTTGAGTATGTCCATTGTAGAGGCTGCAAAAAAATTCAGCCGATTCCAGGCTTTATCACGTACGCAAGATTGATTTGTTTTTGTAATCAAGCAAGATTGATTTGTTTTTGTTACTTTCTCGAGATCGAATCGACAAAAGAAGTCAATAACTCGAGCTCGGCTTCGATTGAAATATAAATGCTCAAAAGATTGCTTAAGCTCGGCTCGAGTTCGACTCAAATTTAAAGTAAAATTATTATTAATTACATATATTAAGGGTTGAGTTCACATGAGAACGGTGTTCAATGAAAGAAATGAGGATAAATTGTAGCATTAGATCGGATGATTTAATGGCTAAAATAAAGTCAAAATCAACTTAATTACATTTTTTAATCATATAACGTAAACCGTATTCTTGGAATATGTTTTACAATGTAAAATGCATTACCAGAATACGGTTTTATTTGTAAAACGTATTACCATAATACGTGTGTTTTATTTTTGTCTACCCATTTTTTTTTTCCACTCGTTTTTTTTTTTTGTTTAAAATAAAAAAATCTATATGTCCAGGGCGAAGCTACATGTAATGAAAGGGGGGCAATTGCCCCCCTCAAATTTTAATTTTTTTGCTATTAATATTACAAATTTTAATTTGCCTCCCTTTAAATTTATTTTTGCACCTCCTTATTTTTTTCAAACGTTACTCACCAGGTCAATTTGCCTACAATTGTCAATTAACAATTAAAAAGTTCTTCTATATTTTTACTATTAATTTTGTATAATTATTATCTTTCTACAATTTTAATTAGCCCATAAAAACGATTTCAATTCTCTTTTATTGTCAGGCTAGGGCTGATATTTTTTCACCGAAAACCAAAAGTCGAACCAAACCGAACTAATGAAAAAATAAACCGAACCGATGAAAAAATAAACCGAACCGAACCGACTTATGTAGATAACCGATTTCAATTACCGAAATGTTATCAGTTCGAGTATCGGTATGAACCCATTATGCCATGTCTTATGCCCCTCTCAACTAATTTTCTGGTTTCGCCTATGTCCCACTTTGATTATTTAACATATACAAAATTCATATATTTTTAATAAAATGTAAAATTTGTAGTTTTTTTTTTTCTTTATCCAAGGATTCACAATATTATCATGTAGTGCGGATAAGAATGCAAGATTTTTTTATTATTTTTTTTTAAATAAGAATTGCAAGATATAATTTGATGTGATTGCTATAAATAATGTGTATATATATCTTCTTGGACTACCTAAGTACAATTAATGGTGTGCAAAAATATAACAAAATCGTTTTCTTATGAAAGCTAAGTATAACTAATTGTGCAAAAATATAGCAAATTCGTTTTCATATGCTACTACAAGTATGTATAACAAAGACAACTTTTTATTATGATCTCTCTTTAGTTTTCTCTGGCTTAAAAAGTTGTGCTAATTAATTTCTTGCTTATTTAATGGATAATTATTGGATACTAAAAACAGCAGTACGAAAAGAACCCGCTGAAAATAATTTGATGGCAACATTTGCACATCTGACCACAGCTTCATTAAAACCTTTGTCGGGTTAATTATAATTATGTTTAGGCATTTCCTCTTTCCAGAAATGCTATGGAGTCCTCGGATGCAGGGACGTAGCCAGAAATATTTTTTACCCTAGGCTGCTAGAACCGATTTGGTAGGGAATATAACTCAGTTCGACTCGTAAAGAATCAATCGTGATTCATTCATATAATAAAACATAAAATGAAAACTTAGTTCAAACGAGCGGAGCTTAGTTGATTACACTCAATTTATTAAATGTTTCGAGCCAAACATGTTCATTTATTAGACGAACGCAAGTTCAAACACGATGTACTCGGCTCAATTTGGCTTCAATGATATTTCGCTTAAATTGTGGAATACCAAATGTCGTTTCATTGATCTGCTATGCAAATTAATGAATTTAAATTATCTATTTCGCATATTCAAATATAATTTATTTAAAAGTTAACAAGTTGATGTATTTCATATATAAACTAATATAAATAATATAAATTAATCGTGTATTAAATCAAACATTAAAAAATAAAAACAAGAAAGAAAAAATGACAAAGTAAGCTATAACCACATAAAAATACATATGAAAAGTTTGAGTCGTGTCCAAAAATATGCATAATATTTTGGTTTAATATCAATTATTTTAAATGAATACGGACTAAATAATTATATCATGAATTAAATTAATAAAACATGGGTTAAAATATTTTTTTACTGCTACATATTTATATTAGACAAAAAATATAGACTGGGCTGGAGCCCGGATGAGCCACCCCCTGGCTCCGCCCCTGCTCGGATGGTTTCCTTATGGAGCCATCCATAACTTTATGTATCGACACATGTGTAATGTGTATTTATTGCATGACACGTGTCAATACACCATTTGTGGATAATTATAGATGACTCCATAAGCCGAGTCATCCGATGGCTCCATAGCAAACCGTTCTTCTATAAATCGTCTAAACTTCATCAGTTGTACCATGTGTTGGATTAGTGGTTCCTTAGGCGTGGTTTGTTGTCTATTTTTTCTGTTAATTAGGGGTAATATGTTTTGCATGTGCATGGTTTTAGTTGTTTGCTTTTATTGGTTATTTGGCTCGTGCACGTGTCACTTGCTCACTGGCCGATCCTTTCCTTCAGCTCGCTTATAAGTCGAGCTTCATCTTCATTATTGTAAGACTTATTATATGAGAGAAAATTGCCCAAAATTTGAAATGGGATTATTATTAGCTGCTAATGTCCCACTAATTTTGTTCTTGGGTTTTCTTATTATTTTCAGCCAAACAGAAAGCACTGCTGTTAGCGAGGTGGAATCAGGTAGCCACATTAATTTCAAGTTGTTATTAATTAATTAAATTTAGTTTGCAACATTAAAACATATATATATATATATATATATATATATATATATTTTTTTTGGTTTAATTAATTGGCTTTGATCAATTTGCATACGCAGGCTTGGTGGAGAGATGCAATTACATTATCCACATGGACAAATCTGTGATGCCCAAACCCTTTGTCAGCCCCACTGAGTGGTACGCGTCACTCCTCAAGTCTGTGAGCCGAGGAAAAGCAGCAGGAAAGGAGACGAGGATTCTGTACGCTTACGAGCACGCCCTTCACGGGTTCAGCGCGCTGTTGTCTGATGACGAGCTCGAAGCCCTCAAAAAATCCAGCGCATTCCTCTCCGCGTACCGCGACAGGAGCGTCACCCTCGACACGACTCACACGTTCAAGTTCCTGTCTCTGAACAACTCGACGGGGCTATGGCCAGCCTCGGACTATGGTCGAGATGTGATTGTCGGGGTTATCGACACGGGCGTGTGGCCCGAGAGCCTGAGCTTCAGGGACGAGGGTATGACGGAGATTCCGAGCAGGTGGAGAGGGATATGCGAGGCTGGGCAGGAATTCAATTCTTCGATGTGCAACAAGAAACTGATTGGGGTTAGGTACTTCAATAAGGGTCTTATGGCGAGTCTGGTGCCCGGGACATCCCTCAGCATGAACTCGGGGAGGGATACAGATGGCCACGGTACGCACACCTCGTCCACTGCCTGTGGGAATTACGTCCCCGGGACTTCCTTCTTTGGGTATGCAAAGGGCACAATGAGAGGAATTGCGCCTCGTGCTCGAGTGGCCATGTACAAGGTGGTATGGGAGGAGGGAGGCTACGCCTCAGATGTGCTCGCTGGGATGGACCAGGCTTTGGCGGACGGGGTTGATGTGATATCCATCTCCATGGGGTTAGATCGCTTACCCTTGTACGAGGACCCGATTGCTATAGCATCTTTCGCTGCGATGGAGAGAGGAGTTGTGGTGTCTGCCTCGGCTGGGAACGAGGGTCAAGTCGGGAGTCTGCACAATGGGGTCCCGTGGCTGTTGACTGTTGCGGCTGGTTCAGTCGACCGTTCGTTTTTGGGTATCTTGCGTTTGGGAAATGGGGTGACCATCCAGGGTCGGTCCCTATTTCCGGCCCCTGCCCTTGTCAGAGATTTGCCTCTCTTTTACAACACCACCTTCTCATCCTGCAACTCGACCGACGCACTATCCGCGGCACGTGACGGGATAGTCGTGTGCGATGATGATGACGATTTCGATGTCTTAAGCCAGATGTACTTTATCTCTGAATCGGGTGCCCGTGCGGGTATCTACATCTCGGGCGACGACGCAGTCGTACAAGAGATGAGCGGTATGACGTATCCTGGTGTGGTGGTCAGCCCCGACGACGGTCGGACGGTGATAGAGTATGCCAAGAGAGGTGCGCGGCCGAGCGCGAGCATCCTATTCCAGCAGACACGGGTTGAGACGAGCCCCGCCCCCGTGGTGGCATCGTACACGTCAAGGGGCCCTTCCTGGAGCTGCCCGGGCATCCTCAAACCAGACATCATGGCCCCGGGGACCCTCGTGCTGGCCTCATGGAATCCAAATGTGGCGACGGCTTCCATCGGGAAGA